GAGCCACCCAGGTGCCCCTTTTTCGTTGTTTTTTAAGATTTTATTTATTTATTTGAGAGAGAGGGAGAGCGCACAAGCAGGGAGAGAGGCAGAGGGAGGAGAAGCAGGCTCCCCACTGAGCAGGGAGCCCAACGCGGGGCTCGATCCCAGGCCCCTGGGATCATGACCTGAGCCGAAGGCAGACGCTTAACTGACTGAGCCGCCCAGGCGCCCCTGACCTCTTCTCGTGTTAAGAAAGTTGTATGTATAGGTTTGCCTTCCTTTTTATATTTTACATAGGACTATATGCCCAATCTTTTTAAAGGTTGTATGATATTTCCTCTAACGGATGGTCAGTAGTGAAATTATATACTTTCTTACTATTGGACACTGGGACTCTTTTTAATGTTTTGCCATTAGAAATAGTGGTGCACAGGACAGTTTGTACATATGTCTACTTTACTACTTTGGATTACTCTTTTTGGATCGATTCCCAGAAGCAAATTCATGGAGTCAAAGTATATGAGCATTTTTATGACTTTTGTTTCAAATTCCATTTAATCATCTACCAGCAAAATATAAGAAAACGAGTATCACTCTCTTTTCATCTATTTCAAAGAAAATAGATGTTACCATGGAATAAAAATTGTTAATTTTAAAAAGTCAGTGTTAATACTTCATTGTTGTTTAACTTGGCACTTCTTATCTTCCCCCCCTATTCTGGTTATCGTCTTTTTCCTGAATTGGCTGTTCTTAAATTTGCCTATTGGAGTCATAGTGTTTTCCTTATCATTTTGTATACATTTTTTCTCCCGTGAAGATTCTGATTGTATTACAAGTAATTCTTAAAAATAATTTTTCATAGCTTATTGTTACCCTTTGAATCTATTTTTAAATATGGTCTTCGTCATAGGAAGTAGCATGCAAGAGTTAACATTTTTTAAATGGAGACACAAAGATTTATTGGAAGGTCATTTTTTAACCCAGTGATATGCTTTATGTAACACAGAGTCATATAAAGCACACACACACACACACACACACTTCCCCATTGATGCTACATTTTGAGCAACCAAAGGCCACACTGGTCTACTCATTTTTCCCTAAAAGTCTTGGTCTCTTGTGTCCCTATTCCAAACGTCCTCTTCCTTCTCCACAAAGAGTTTATGTTGACCTGCAGTTGTTTCTGTTTTGAATTCCTTGAGCTTCATTTGGCACTATCCACAGTGTATCTCAAACGGCTATTCAACTGCCTTCTGATTGATTTTGCCTCCTTACCTAGAACAGAAACTCTTGAAAATTGAAGTCATTGTTTATTACCTGTTTATATCTTTGTTACTTGTTTATATCTTCCGTAGTACATGGCAGCCTGAAAAATGACCGTGCTGCATGTGAGATTAAGTAGCAGAATAGAGAGGGAAACCATGAGTCTATTTCAGAAATCTAGGTAAAGGAATCTTATTTTAGAGTTAATTTTCCAAATTAGAATTTAGAAATAGTATCATTAGAGGAATCAACAGGCTAGTGGAAAGTGATCATATCACAAATAATGACTAGCAGAAAGGGGTATAATTCATACTGTCACACCAAAGGGCACATGAACTTCTGGCTTCAGCCTGTATCTCCAGGGACAGGTGTGATCCAGATCGTGCTGAGGAAAACTGAGGCAGCTTACCAGATTTTCACTGAGTCTTATTTAGGCGACCGTATAGATGTCCATTTTTTCCTTGATACTATCAAGTAACCCTGTAGGCTGTTGAATCTAGAAATTGAGATAGGAGATAGGAGTCAAATTCTGAGACTGTTAATAAAGATTAGATTTATAAAGCAGGGCAGGTGTCAAACCTGGTCTATGGAGCAAGGAACTGAGGACTAGGACTTCTAGCAATGGCAGCACTGTGTACTCCCATCCTGGGAACCAAAACACTTTGTAAAGAGCTGCTGGGTGCTGCAATGGGCCTTTATACTATGTGAAGGTAAAGCCACAGTTCTGGGGTGGTGGCGGGAGGAGGGGTTGGGGGAGCATGAAGGGAGCTGGCCCAGAAACATAGCCAGGATCTAACATCAAGGAGAAAAAGCATTTACTAAATAACACAATTTGACAATTGTCTTTATAAGACTCAGTAGCTGATGTTTCTACCATTTAATGAAATGTCTCTTGCTTCCACAGTACTTTCTCTATATTAACGACCTCACGCAATCAGGTTTTTTTAAATTATGAAAAAGCAGCACTTCAGGGAATATGTACAGGGAGAGCATTAGCTTCCCTGCTTCCTCATTCTTCAAAATATGCTATTAAGCTGACTGCTACAAGCTTGGCAGCCCGTCCAGGCTAAGGGGGAAAATAGGCTACCCAGTGGCCCCTAGAAGCCATCTAATATTTTATCTTAAGTTTTCTCCTCATCTTCTTCATTTTTTAAATTGTAATTTCCCTTTGTTACTTCCTAGTCTTCAGCAGCAACTGTGTTTGGGATAATTAGAGGAGGTACCTATATCCATATTTTTTACAAAATTAGTATCTGGGGAGCATGAGAAGTTTGGAGAAATAGTTTACAATGTGAAGAAGGGGTTAGAAGAGAATAATAGAAATTATGTGTACAGATGGTTTGTTATGTGCCAAACACTAAGCAGTGTACTTTTCATTTCTTTAATCTGCACGGCAGCACTATACGAGGTCCATATGGTTACTGTCTCAGTTTTGTAGATGTAGAAAATTATGCTTAAATAGGTTACAAAATCTGTCCAAGCTCACATGGCTAAGAAGTGATGGAACCAGGAAGCAAACCAGGAGTCCCATGCCAGAGCCCATACTCTCAGCCCCTATGTCATTGAGTCAGTAGTTCTAGGCAACAAGGAACAACCAGGGAAGGTTGAGGAAAAACATCCCCAGAAAGTCTCCAAAATGTTTAGGGAGGGGGTGAATTTCTTGCCTTTATGCTGGATGGGAAGTGGGTATTAAAGAAAAGTGTTGGCCTCGGGAAGACTGGACAGACATGAGAGAGACACCTTCAACTTCCCCCACCAGAACCTGTAATTACCTTTCTTGCAACATACGCTTGTTGAGAGATTCAGGGGAGAAGGAACGTGTGTTCTCAGAGTTTTATATCTAGTGCTGATAGAGCAAATGGACTTGATGTAAAACATATTTTTAACAACAAAGGACACAATTTTCTGGCTTGTGTATTTGTAGCAGACATCACTCAGATTGTGGGTATTATAATCAGCACCTCCTGGAGTAATACGACCAGCTCGGCACAAACTAGATTTAAAAATAAATTCTCCACCTCATCTGGAACTCCCCAGGATTCAGTCTACAAGCAAGCTGGGGTAGATGTAGTGAGGTACTTCCATCCTATTTCTCTGTGCCCTACTTTCATTTCCAGGGCCCTGTAGTGTTTCATACTGTTGCCAAGTTGGCCCAGGGTTTTGAAGATCCCAAGATCCCTAAGTGACATATCCAAGTTCATAGGGGACTATGAAATTAACCAATATTTATGAGATTTTCTGGATAACTTAGGTTAACCTGGAGGAGAGTAGATCAGTACATTCATTATTGAGCTCCTGCTTTGTGACAGGCATTGTGAATAACTGAGCGAACTGCCTCCAGGTTGGAAGATCCCAGATGCGTAGTTGAGGTAGCAGTGAAGGCTTCAGACCAGTCCAAATTTCCGCCCAAGGCAGAGAAGTGGGAGGGGCTCATGTACATGACAACCCTAGCCAGCCACCCCAGTAGTGCGTGGTGGCTCATGTGATTAAAAATAAATATCCTGGTATCTTCTGACCTTTGTTTTTCTTTGTCATTTATCAATATTTACCTAAAAATATAAATGCAATTTCCACTATACCCTGGACTAAGAGACAGTGTTCATATCAATATCTACAAAATGATTAGCAGGTAAACTCCTTCAGATTAAGAGAAGCACATTGATAATTTCCGTACATTCCAGACTCTCTTTTCTCCAAAATAAAGCTTTTAAAAAGACTGCTTTAAATTTACCTCAATATTTGTGTCAAATTGAAGATCTTCTTTATAGAGTCTACTTGCAGCTGGTTCAAGAAAGACTGTGTTAGTTCAAGCATTGGAACAAAGCTCTGTTTCTATTAGTTCAACTGTCACATTAGGCCAGGTTCAAATCATTCACACTCAGGGCCTATGATCTGAAATTGGTGGTAATTTCAATTGGTGGGAAGAAGGGTCACATTTAAAAAAAAGGTTTAAAAGTCTTTTATTATAAAAATTATGTAACAAATGTGCAGGAAGTTTGGAAAGAGAGAAAAAATAATCTATTGTCCCATCATCTCGAATACATTTATGTTAAGGCGTGTTGAGAATGAAAGCCAGGCCTGTGGGTAATTGGAACAGTCAGATAGTACAACAGTATTTCCATTATTACGGCTACATAAAATATGTTAATTTGGGGGAAGAGCTAAAAATTGTCTCATTGGGACACCTGGGTTGCTCAATTGAACCTCCAAATCTTTGTTTCGGCTCAGGTCATGATCTCAGGGTTGTAAGATCGAGCCCCAAGTTGGGCTCTGCCCTCAGTGGGGAGTCTGTTTGAGATTCTCTCTCTTTCCCTCTCCCCCTACCCCTCTGCCTATCCCAGCCCCTGTGCTCTCTCTAAAATAAATAAATAGAATCTCAAAAAATAAAAATTCCCTCATTAACAATTTTCCATGGTATTTTGATAATTATGTATGTTTATTCTTATAGATGAAATGTAGAATAATTCCTACTTACAACATGGATATTCTCAATCTGGATTCCCCATCAGATATCAAATATGGCAATTAAAATGCTTTTCCAATACTCTAGGTAGAATGCATTCAATAGTTTCCAAATATATATATGGCTATTTTATAAATATATAAAATTTTATAAATGGAAATTTAGGTCTCAATTACTCAAAGAACTCTAACTCACATGATACTGGAAGAGATGCTTTACGCGAAGGTACATACTTTCTAGTGTTCCATCTGAAGTTTTTCACATCAACCAAAGGTTGAACAATCATTACCTTTGTAAAATCTTCAGTGCCTTGTACCTGAAGTTTGACAGAATGTAAGTTAATTTCTGAGTACATATCATACAATAAATGTTTCTCTGGTAAGCTACTATCTCAGGACCTCTCTAAATATCATGTAAATATCTAAATTTACATGAAAAGTAAACATGTCTCTATTAGATAGATATCTTAAAATACCTGAATACGTTGGTTTTTTGAACGTCAACATTCCATATACTTTCATTGATTTTTAAATGTTTTGCTCATTTCTCTTACAAATGAGAAAAACGGTTAAGAGTTCATCATTAATGATCCTTTAAAATATCACCCAGAGAGATTATCTATGTGGCAAAAGAAAGTTTAAAAAACAGTAGACTTCAAGAAATCCTTCAACATGTGGTTGTTTTCGATATGCTTTGAATCACATTGGTACCCAAATCTACAGTAAGCAGGGCTTTCTGCCTGTGAGAGTAGACAGAGTTGGGTAGGTTTTAAGTTGCCTTGAGAATCTCTTGCTTGGGCATCTAACTTCCCAATCAGCACCCACAGTAGAGCTCTGTTATTATGTATTCAAGGATAGAGGTAGGGAGCACCATAGTTCAGTGTAATGTCTTACTTCCTGTCAGTGGCATCTGTTCAGAAAATTTTTCTTATGACCCTTTCTCATCTTGGGATTCCTCTTATCCCCACCTCATGTTTTTCTCCTGTCCCAAATCTACCTCTTTTTTTTTTTTTTTTT